TGAAATTTTTTGTTATCAATGATTTAAATATCGCAGTTATTTTTTTAATTTTATATTATTAAAAAATATTAAACAATCGATAATATGTTTTTTTGGTATATACCGTATAAACCGAGTATATGTGATTTTATAAAAATCGTAGGATTTGGATATTGTTTGATTTTTAACCGATTAAACTGAAACATGTAAATATGTATATATTTATAACGACGCATGAATATCCACTACAAGAAATTATGGCATATTCCGAGGAAACTTCCGACGGCCAACGAGTTCCTCGGAAAATTCCGATGGAATTCCGACGACATTCCGAGGAAACGTAAAATTTGTGTTTCGTCGGAATATTCCGACGAAATTCTGAGGAACAGACATTCCGTCAGGATATACCGAGGACATTCCGAGGATTAATTATAGCCATTAACGAGCCAGTTGGGAAGTTTAAAAATTCTGAGAGATATTTCTGACCGTTGTATATTCCGAGGGAATTCCGACGAAAAATTAAAATTCCGTCGGAATTTCGTCAGAATTTTCGGCAGCATTTCATCTATAAATACAAGCACCCCTTATCTCCTTTCATTCCCTCAATATTCTCATCCTCTCACTTATACACACGAATCTGGTTCACAAAAACATGTCTTCTTCAAATTATTATCGTTCGTGGATGGATCAACCTCATTTGGATCCTGACACAAAATTACTTACGGAAGAATACCTATTTCATTTTTTAAATTTTAATCTTAATTTTTACCTATCTCATTTTTTTTAATTTTAATTTCAATTTTTAATGCTTTTTATTAACAAATGCTTTTTTTTTTTTTCAGGCGAAACAGAATGATGGTGAGCCAGTTGATTCCCTCGTGCTAATGAGGGAGGCGTATACCGACAAGGCGACTAGAGAGATTTCGGATGCCGTTGTGAGGGAGGTGATCGACTTGGTCGAAACCCATAAGGAGGAAGAGATCCAACGTCTATCTCAGCTTCAGTCTGACGACGACGACACTACTGCTGATTCCACAATCCTTTCTTGAGCTCGAATCAACGAACTAGCTGAGTCGGTAAGATCTTTATTTTAATTCACAATTTAATTTTTACTATTTTTTCATGTCATCGTCTTTTTCATTGTTTTAATTTAATGTTTTTTTTTTCTAGGCGGTTCCTAAGAAGAAAGGCCGTTTGTTCGGGTTAGCTCGTCGCTTCATGTCAGTTCCTTCTACTTCAGAACCGGCTTTTGTTGATCCGGAAATTATGGAGCAGCTACAGAACAAGGATGACCGCATCGTAGCATTGGAGAACCAAAACGCCACAATTCTTACCCAGAACGAGACCATACTTGCTAGGATGGCAGATCAGCAAAATGAAGTGGAGGAAACGAAGAAGAAGAACCAAGAGTTGTTGGATATGCGACGTATGTTCCCGCAGGAGTTCTAGTCGGTTGTTTTATTTGTTTTTAAAAAAATTGAATGTTTAATTTGTATTTCTACTTTTAAAACTTAAAATATTAAAATATGTTTTTTATTTCAGATTTAGTGTTATATTTTCAAATAATTATTAAATAAATATTTTTTTAAAAATAATTAATTATTATATATTATTTTTTTTAAAAATTAGGAATTTCCAAGGAAGTACATCCCTCGGAATATTCCGACGAATAGCTCCTCGGAATATTCCAACGGATGGATCCTCGGGATATTCCGATGAACCTAGCTGTCAGAAATTTCCGAGGAGGTTAAGTCCTCGGAACATTCTAACGGCTACGTCAATCGGAATATCTCGAGGACTGGTCCGTCGGAATCTTCCGACGGACCTCTTCCGACGATTTTGTCCGACGAAGCATCTGTAGAGATAATCCGATGACTGCTCTTCCTCGGAATTTCGTCGGATTATTTGTCCGTCGAAAGTCGTCAGTATTTTCTCAGTGTCTCTGACGAAATTCCGAGGAAATATTTTTTTCCGAAGAAATATTTCCGACGACGATTTTCCTCGGAATGTCGTCGGAATAGACGTATTCCGATGACATTCCAAGGAAAATGACCCTCGGAATGTCGCTGTTTTCTTGTAGTGATCTATTTGTTACATGAGTTGAACTATAATTATAATTTGTTAATCACTTGAACTATAAATAACTAACAATTTACTGCAACTGAGGTTTCTTATTTTCTTAATCTTTTTTTTTTTTATCTTTTTGCTTTATTTTAATAGTAACTAAATTGAATTAAAGATTATAAATTTGATGGACAACAATTAGTTGAAATTCTTTACATTTTTTTATCCTTAATCAAACAAAGTTGTATTCAATTGAAGACATATTAATTTGATGAACACTAAATATGGAAGAATATAAAAAATTTTCTTTCATGCTTCTGTTTTGTTTTTTTCTTTCAAAATTTAAATTTTTGAAATTAATTCTAGATTTGATCATTTTATTAGATGACAGAAGCCTTTTTGGGTTTTTATTCTTTTATTTAAATATATAATATTTTTTTAATAAATGACTTTTTGACAATATGACTCTAAATATGATCATATTATATATTTGTATAATATATAATATGATCTCAAACTAAATAATAATGTTTTTTGGCATAAAACGGAATAACCAATTGTATATAAACCAAATCAAACCAAAATAAATATAGATTTAGAATAGTTGTTATATTTTAATAATCGAAATACAAAAAAATCAAACCGAACCGAAACCCGATATCTAGACTGAACATCCTTAATCCAAATGAAACTGAATTATTGTTTCATTTTCCAAAATATAATAAAATAACAGTTTCATCCCGCGTTTGCGCGGATCTTATCCTAGTATGTTATTAATTATTAATGAAAACAATTAATTTAATTATGTAAGAAACAAAGTTAATCCCACCAATAATCAATTACTTATGCCAAAGTCCTTAGCTTAGTCTCTTAACACAAAAATAATAATAAAAAATGTTAAGGCCCTTAATCAAATCCCACCCATAATGATGCCCTAACTGAAATGATCTAGGCTCAATGAAACGTATATATCGGCTTACGATTTAGGCCTATTAAGAAACAGAAAAGTCCAATGCCCATCTATGTCGGTCAGTCGGTGACCCAGTGTCGGTGGGGTATCTCGGTTGGTGTGTTTAAATAGCAGATTCTTCTATGTGGACATCAAAGGCTGTTGTATTTTTCTAAACCTATGACACATGTTGTGGTACCCACACTACAAGAAAAAGTCTCTCATACCGACACTCAATTTTATCAGAACATTGTCGGAAGACCTCATCTCCGAGAGTTTTCCGAGAAATGCCAATATGTCGGGGTTTGACGGTCGGAAATAACAAGAAGCCGGTATGTTGTCGGTAATTACCGAGAAAACATGAATCTCGGAAAGTTTGTCGATAATGGTTGTCGGTACGTACCGAGGCAGTTCCGACGACGTATAAAAAAATTATTAAAAAAAAATAAATGAAAAATAACAAAATATATCAATAAATAGAAAATAATATTGAAATCATTAAATAGTTATTACAAAAATGTAAAATTAATTAAAATATAATAAACTAATTTATTTTGACAAAAGATCTACGGTCGATCTGGTGGTGGGAGAAACGGTGACGACATGGAAGAAACGGTGACGGTTGTGGTCCTTATAAACAGCGAGGATGGTGGCCGCGGATAAACGGCGACAGCATGGAAGAAACCGTGACGGCGGTGGTAGTGGAGAAAACGGCGAGGATGGTGGCCATTGAAGAAACAGGGATGATGGTGGGTGTGGAATGAACGGCAGCGTTAATTAACGTGGAGGTCCTGGAGAATTGTCGTGTAGGCAAAAATAATCTTGTAAAAGAGTTGAGTTATCTTTTCCAGTAAAAAGGAACAGATCTGAAAAAAAGTAGAACAGATCTTGTTAAAGAGACAGTGGGAAGAAGGGAAAAAAAGAAGAGAGAGAGAAGATAAGAAAAATTAAAGAATGAGTCGAAGAGAAGAAATAAATTAACGAAGAAAATTGATGGAGAGAAGTAAAAGATAAACAATGAAAATGAATGGCTATAAATATTTCTCAGTCTCCTTTTAATAACTGAATGATGGTAAAATTAATAAAAATTGATAAAGTTAATAAAAATCAAAATAATAACTGGTTCCGATGAAATAGCGTCTACTTTTACGACGTGTTACCGAGAAAGCAATACCATTGTCCTTTCCGAGAAACTACCGAGAATACGTATCGATGAATTTCCGATGAAACTTTTATATCGGAACTTTCCGACTAGTTTCCAACAAATTATGTAGGTTCTCGGTAGATTATCAGAATTTCATCACAAATTTTCCGTTAACAAGGATTCTCGGAAACTTTTGTCGGAGGATAAGCACTTTTCTTGTAGTGCNATACCATTGTCCTTTCCGAGAAACTACCGAGAATACGTATCGATGAATTTCCGATGAAACTTTTATATCGGAACTTTCCGACTAGTTTCCAACAAATTATGTAGGTTCTCGGTAGATTATCAGAATTTCATCACAAATTTTCCGTTAACAAGGATTCTCGGAAACTTTTGTCGGAGGATAAGCACTTTTCTTGTAGTGCCAATTCACTTACTCTACCTTCATGATGTACGCTAATTGCTTTACTATTTTAACAATTTGTACGTAATTAATTGTGAAATATGTAGAACATTTGCTTAATCCACATCTCAAAGTTTGGCGTCCAAACAGTTGTTTATATTACTAATTTTTTCAAGTCGTACCCTAGTTGGTAGATTTGTACGGTTTTATGGGTAATTGTCGTGAACCAAGTTATATTACCGCTCATCATATAAGTCAGCGACTTATATGTTTATTGATAACGTGTAGCCACATAGATTTATGTCTCTCATACAAAGTACAATTTTTTGTTTTGCAAATTGATGGATATTCATTCACAACCGTTACATCAGTCACGTGAATTGGTTGCACCGAGATTTGAACTCTTACCCAAATAATTCTGTATCAATATATATATACATTATTACAATGAAAAGGAAGAAGAAAACTTTATATATTATACAACGTAAACTGGTAATCCAAATCCTATGTTAACAACTTTTAAGGCTGATTTACAAAACGATTACCATCTTAAAGGTAGGTAATAAGAACAGATAAGTACAGCTCAAAGCTTTTTTAAGTTAATAAATTGATAAAATTTACTCTATCATAAGAGTGTTTAGTGCTTACTCTTAGTTAATAATTATTAGAACACAACAAAACAAAAGAAGACAAAAACTTTCAGCTACTTAACTCTTCTTGCTTCTTATCTTCACTCCTCGCCAAACCCTAAATCATGGGTGAAGGAGAAGCAAAAGCAGAGCAAGCAACCAAAGCAGATCACAAGCATGCTCACTCCGCTTCTTCAACGCCGGAATCTTACTCCAAAGACGGCGACCGACGAGGCGGCGGAGACGCTTACCGCGCATTCTGCGGCGCCATTTTTTCCATCCTCGTCTTACTAGGAATCATCGCTTTAATACTCTGGCTCGTCTACCGTCCCCACAAGCCACGTCTCACCGTCGTCGGAGCAGCCATATACGACCTCAACTTCACGGCTCCGCCGTTAATCTCAACCTCCGTTCAGTTCTCCGTCTTGGCCCGAAACCCAAACAGGAGAGTCTCTATTCATTACGACAAGCTGTCCATGTACGTTACCTACAAAGATCAGATCATAACGCCGCCGCTTCCACTTCCACCGCTTCGGCTAGGACATAAATCTACGGTGGTGATAGCTCCGGTGCTGGGCGGCGCCGGGATACCGGTTTCGCCGGAAGTGGCTAACGGGTTGAAGAGTGATGAAGCTTACGGTCTTGTTTCAATGAGAGTGGTGGTTATAGGGAGGCTACGTTGGAAAGCTGGTGCGATTATGACTGGGAGGTATGGATTCTATGCAACGTGTGATGTGTGGATGAGATTTAATCGATCTTCTAATGGTCAAGTTCCTCTTCTCGCTCCTCCAACTTGTACAGTTGATGTCTAGTTTTTATTTTATTTTGTAATGTGTTCTTTTTTTACCTTTGTGTTAAGAAAATAGTTTTATTGTAATTGTGTAAACTTTTCGCTTATCTTGAGAATAAATCCAGAGCCACAAGCCAGATATTATAGCTACAGTATTTCTAAATTATGGTATTTATTTATCAGTTGATGGATCTGTGTGGATATTAACTGGTTATAGATCTTTTGTAATTACATTTCATAACCCCTTTTAGAAGGAGAGCCATTACAAACGCTCACGCTGAGAGTGAAAAGATTAATCAAGACAAGACATACGATGATGATGAAACCAATATGAAGCAAACTATTATAAATACGTAGTCAGGATGGTTGGATGAATTGAAACTATGTAGCAAGTAAGATGACAAATGAGAAGCTGTGTTGGGAGAACCGGTTGAGAGTGAAGCAATGACTCGTCGGTCCAGTCCACTAAGCTTGGCTCTCAGGTTTGTTGGTAATAAAAAAAAAAAGGTTTGTTGGTAATAGCGTATATCTTGCATGTCAATGGCGTCAACATAAACTGATTACAGCTAACAGCTCATTATGTTGGATTCAAGACATATGGCATCTCCATGCAGCATCTCTAAAATTTGAACATATGACCAGTCTTTTGTTTTGTTCTTCGTCGACCGCATCCGCATCTCGGCATTGAATGAGTCACTTTAGTCAAAATGCGTCTAAGAGCATGAATATAGGTGGTCCTTATCATGGGCCTTAGTGTTTTTGGATAAAAAAATAAATCAAAAAGACATAATAAACGAATTACGTTCCTTATTTACGGACTTTGGATTTTGTCCTTAGGTGGCATCATCTCAGCCGTCGGCGAAAAAAGGATTTGGGAAGTGTCATCGCGTGTTCATTCCCGACTTCTATCTCCTTTCTCTGTCCTTTCTCTCTTCTCCGCGGCGACAGAGAGGCGATATCTCTCCCGAACTCTTTCTGCTTCCACTTTCGACGATTCACAGACGATTAAAACCAAAACGGGGTACGTGTTTCTTTTCCTTCACCGGCTTTAGTTGATTTAGGTGTGATTGACGCTTTGTGTCTTCCGTTTCTTAGATCGGACATACGATTTTAAAAGGAAAAGGATTGATAATGAAATAAATTTAGGTTTTTCTTAATCTTGGTGGGTCTTCGATGTCTGCATATAAACAAATCGATTGATGCTTGATTTCATTTGTGAAAAGGGTTTAAGTTGGGAGATTAATTAAACTGTGTTTGTTGACTTGATTTTCTTTGATGCATGATTTCATTTATGATAAGTTGTTCTCTGTGAAGTTAATGTATACCATTTTAGCAAGTTCTTTGTAGAAATGTCGTAAGAAAATTAATAAAGAGACTTTGATACTACACAAATACTTTATTAGTTTTGGAAGTCCAGTTATTATTTGACTTTCCATGTTATGTCTGATATGCGTGATGAGAGATTGTTTATTAATGTGACTCTTTCGAAAATAATTACAATTGTTTTCGAATTTGTGGAAAGCTAGTTTGTGGCGTAGTTAGGTGGATTTCTGTAAATGCAGTCTGATGAGAGATGGTTTAGTGTGTTCCATTTCTGTCTAGGTAGTGTGAAACATAGTTTGATGAGAGATGGTTTAGTTTGTTCCATTTCTGTCTAGGTAGTGTGAAACGTAGTTTGATTGAAACGATATACTCTTTTAGTTGATTCAAATTGTTAAAGTAAACTTGATAGGTTTTTAGTTGTTGTTTGTGTAATAACTTCTGAAAAGACCTTTCTGGTTTATGGTTAGTCATTAAGTGGCTAAGAGCATGATTATTCCTATAACCCCATATGGGTTTCTTAATCACTTTTTAAATATTAATTTTGTTTTAAGAATTTAGTTAAGAAACAACTAATTTTCTGTCCTCCATTCATAGTTTCTTAGCTAAGGGTTTTTTTAAAAAATGAATGGTGATTAAAGAGAGAAAGAGAGAATGCATGACTTTGGTTTTGTGAATAAAAAGAGTGAATGGTGATAAAATGTTTGGTGAATACACAAACTTTATATAGAGAATACTCCAATAGCAAATCCGTGACACAACATTACAGAAAAAAAAGCATCAGAAACAAGATCATAGATACCAAGAAAGCAGATAGAACAAAGGAAACAAAACCTCATTGAAGTGGCCATGGCCTCCACTACTTCCTTTGTGAAAGTCGTCCGTCCCCACACCAGAGGTTCCAATGAGCATTGTTGGCTTGATTGCCTGATTTGAGAGAAATGTTATGAAGACTTAGGTTGATCTGTTATCCATGCATGAAGAGATATTAAGATAAGTTGTTTAAAGTACATTAACAGATCCCAAGATCTCCTTGACAGCCTCGTGTTCATGCGCCCATGGCTTCTTGAAATGCTGAAGCGATTCAGTGCGTGAGCAAACAATCAATTCCTGCAAGATCATTCAAAGGATGTTTGTAAGTGGACAAAAGAAAGCAATAGCTAACAGTGATGTAATCAAAAATATCTTGGAGTCCACAAGCCAAATCTTCTTCCTGGTCTCATCGATTGGTGCTCCAGTCTACAAAACAATGCATTTACAGGTTCTTTACAAGGAGCAAAGGTATCAAAGATATAGCATGAAGGTAAAAGGCTTATTTGATATCTGTTTTCAGGTCTGACCTCTCCAGCCCCCAAGAAAAAAAGGTATGGTCAGCTAGGCTTTTACCAAGCACTTTCTGAGCCGCAATAAGCCCAGCAAGCACCACGGATGCAGTACCCTGCAATGTTACACAGACAAAACAAGTTTTACTAGTCACGTTTCAGAAAACTAACAGAAAGTGATATTATGATGAAGACAAAAAATGCTACTAGACCTGTTTGTATTGATCAAAATTTAACAAATGTATGCTATTAAACATCAGAAAACTAACAAGGAATTCTACTAGACCTGTTTGTCATTGAAGATGTATCATCGATAACTTTGTCAACAACAGAAGGGTCAGCAAAGGTGATGAAACCAAAACCTCTAGGTAGACCAGTGTTTCGATCTCACATTATTTTCCTGCGACAACAAAATTCGAAGGGAAACATAAACTTACACTGATTGTTTCATTCATCATATGGAACTAAACATGCAAGGACGAAAAAGAAGAAGACATACCCTTAACTGGCACCATCGCCGGACTGGAAATTTTCGGTTCGAGATCTGGACCCATGGTGATTGCTTGATTGATGCTTTCGATCGAGAATCCTCTGCAAAAAACTGGGAGAATAGTTTCAAGAGAAGGCGATGAGATTGATGCGGAGGATGACATCGTTCGTTACGGATCAGACAAGTTGAATTGCAGAGAGGAGGAAAGGAGGAGAGAAGATGAAGAAAGGAAAAAAAATGAAACATCTCTCCGTTTGCTGACACGTGTCCTCAGAAACTCTTTTGTAATCGGTTACGAAAAACCTAAATTAAAGATCGGTAACTAACTTTTTAATTAGTTTTGATTTATTTAAATAGTCTATTATCTTTAAAACCCATTACAGAAACTGCAGTAATGGTGCTCTAACTTACCACAATCTACACTTTCGCCTATTTAACACCAACCTGCCTTCTATAATCAACACCATCTCCTTTTCTTTTATTCAATCTTCTCTGTTCTATATTGGTATGGATTCTAGTTATATAGGGCTTCTTAATAGTCAACACGAGACTGTTATCAATGAAAACTTTCCTTATGAAAGTTTTCATAGTAGCATGAACCTGGGAGCTTCTGAGAACCCCCTTTCAGTTCCCAACAAACCGACGTGCCTCCTCAACCTAAACCAACACCAGCTGAGCGTAAGAACAGAAGGAAGTGGACGCCTGCTGATGATGAAGTTCTGATCAGTGCCTGGATCAACACATCTAAGGATGTTGTTGTGGGAAATGATCAGAATTCTCCGACCTTCTGGAAACGAGTAGGGGAGTATTACATGGTAAGTCCTCACGCGAGAGATGGTGGTGTAAGGACAGAGGATCTCTACTGCAAGCAAAAGGTGGAACAAAATCAACGATTGTGTCAACAAGTTCTTCGCGGCCTACTCAGCAGCAGAGAGACAAATCACCTATGGTCAACACGAGACTGAAACTTTCAAGTTGGCGCATGAATATTCTTCACTGATCACCAGACGAAGTTCAACCTCAAAAACGCGTGGTGTGTGTTGAGGCATGAGCAGAAATGGCTTTGCCTCAACACTTAAAAAACTCCAGTTCAAAAGGGAAAAGCTGCTGCGTCTGGATCCCAAGCTTCAAGCCCCGATGTTGGTAATCATGAGACCCGACCAGAAGGGATCAAAGCTGCTAAAGCTAAAAAGAAAAATGGTCAGGGGAAGTCAATGGCTGAGTACACGACTATTTGGGAGATGAAGAAGGAGGATTTGACGATGAAGGAGAAGCTCTCGAAGCTTGCTATTCTAGACACCCTACTTACCAAAAAGGAACCTCTCACTGAGGTTGAAGAAGTGGTCAAGAACAAGCTACTCGCCTCGTACTTCTGAGACTTAAGTAGTTTACATAATGTTCTAGGTTGTTTGCCTTATGTTCTAAGTTTAAATCATGTTCTACGTCGTCTGCCTTTATGTTCTAAGTAGTTTAAATTATGTTTTCAAAATTCCGAATGTACTACCTCTATCTTTGTACCACCTCTATCTTTTTTAATGAATCGGTTTAATGTTTTAGTTCTTTTTCAAATTCTCAGAGTTTCTCAATATACTTCCCTGCTTCCTCAATATACTTCTTTATTTGTTAAATGTTTTAATTCTTTTTTTAAATTCTCAGAACTTGTCAATATACTTCTTTGTTTGTTAAATGTATACATCTAACCTTCTCTAACTTATTATTGCAGGTCAAGTGAATGATGGGTTTAGATTACAGCTACACACCGCCTTCTTCCTCAGAGGCGTATGGTTGCAACTCAGCTGACAGTGGGTACAGTGAAACAGAAGCGCTTATTCGGGAGGACCAAGCTCAGCTAAACTACACCAACAGAGAGGTTCACTACCCTCCACAGCCAGAGGTTGAGTTCGGGTTCCCTCAAACATGCTACTGTGGTGCTCAACCACAACTGGCAACATCTCAGAGTAGAAGTGATCCAGGAAGGCGATACTACACTTGTGAAAATGCTAACGAT